CTTTCTGTACCATACACACACACACATTACAGCTAAACCAAAATTCTGCAAATATTCATTAAAATTCAGAAGCAAATTCATCCATATTTACAGCTGCTTCACTTTTGCTTTCTGCAAATATTTGAGCACTTGTACTTTACTAGTGCAAATACCAGTGAATAATGAACTTTAATTTCAAATAACCTATACCTTAGCAGAGGACATTCAGATATGAAACGTGTGGTCTGTATGCTATTCCAATGAGAAATGTGTGCTGATCAAGAAACAAGCAGTACTTCTAACTTCTGGAATTGGAAGTATCAAGTCTGAATACATTTTCACACCCATTAACAGGGAACTTTCATCACAGAATTAAAAACAAAACAAAACAAGGACAACGAAAATCCTCACAGTGGCATCTCCATCTCAGCTGTGGCAGTAACACACCTTGAACAGCCAGAGCCAGAGGAGGCTGAACAACAGCAGGAGCTTCTGAACCTCTTTGGGGACTGGTGCACAGCCCAGAGCTCCACTAGGGCCCAGCATCCTAAGGAGAGCCCCTGCCCAGCAAATGGGAGCATCCAACAGCCCAGCTCCCGCGTTGACAAAAAGGAGAAGAGGACGATCATTGTTCAAGCATTTACTGGAAACTATTTTAATGTACTTCAGATACTATTCAGTTTGGAAAGCAATGTAAATGGGAGGTTAGCATTCAAAAGTACTTGTGGTTCACGTTCAGCTCTTACTAAGTAGCTCAGAAAATGCCAACTGGGGGATCAGGTGGGAGCTGGCAGTCAGCTGGGCGGTAGAGAAGGAAAAAGCCCCTTAGCCCAAATGGAACAGCCAGCTTCTCACTTGCAGACCTTGCTGTGTTTTGGGAGTCACTTCCTAGACAGCCAAATCAGACGTAACCTGCTGCTGTAGGATGACTTACACACACTTACCTGACACAACAGCCACACTACACACGGTGCGAGTTTGGAGGTTGCTGTAAGCCATAGAAGAATAGCCACGGCAGGGCTTGTGTTGCCAGTTCTAACGATTGCAGAATTGCCTCCAGAAAAGAATCGGAGCTGCTGTGACACAAAGCTTTCAGTGTGTGAACAACCACTGCACATCCGCCTCTTCTCCTCATGGCTCTGTTTTCTTCATCCTCGTTTCTCTGACGGAGAGAGACTTTGCACGGGCAAGTTCCCAGGCTATCAGCTATGAAACATTAGATTGGGATCAGTTGTCACAAAGAAACATTATTTTAACACAATTTTCCACTGCAAGTCATGCTCGAGTAACTTCTGAGTATGATAACAAGTATTTTTCGAGTATGAGTAATGCTGTAAGAACATGTGCACCTGAACCCAGCAGGCACTCTGTGGCACTCAGAGCCTCCTCCTTGAATAGCACCCTTACATAGAACACACGGGCTTCAGTATCTGTTTAGAGAGCGAGCTACACTGCCAGCAGCCCTGGAAATAACCAGCTGGGGGGAAAAAAAAGCGTCGGAAAAATAAATCTTTTCATTGCGGCTAATGCCCAACCTTCAGACACAGATAATCTCCTCGTGTTCATTCAGCTTCCGTGTCATTTCGTTCAGGCAAGTTTCCACGTTCCCAGCCTAAAACCTCTCTTAAAAACGCTACGGGCTTATTTTGTGGTTTGTTAATATAGGTGCAATGTAAACAACGGATTTGAGGATCTCGCATAGAAAGAACCCGTTTGGTACATAATCGTGTTTTAATGGACGGCGTTTGTAAACCGGTGAAACCGTACCGGGCTGTGAGCGCGTGTTTCCATCAGCGCGGAGCCGGGCGCTTACTCACACACGTCTCGGGACACGAAATCCGCCCCCTGACGAACGCCATCGATGTCACTGGAGGCGGTCATCGCACGGCGGAGCTCCGGTTCTGGCGATTCCCTGCGGATCGCACGGAAAGGTGCAGCCCAGCGGCGGGCACAGCCCCAACCGGCCCAGGGCTGCCCTGCACCCCGACCCTCCCCGCAGCCGTTCCCCTTACCCGGTGCCAAAGGCCGTCCGTCTGTCTGCCCGCGAGGCTGTTTGCGGCCGGGAGCTGACGGAGGGCAGAGCCTGGCGTGGGTTTCCTCGAGAAGCTTCATAAAAAGCGAATGTAGGGCGTCGGAGCTGGAAATTCACCTGAAGGGCGTTTTGTTCAGAGAGCCGTCGTGACGTTCGCCGATTAACTGTGACCGGATCGGTGCTTAGACGTACGAAGAAACGGCTTTGATGGTGCTTTTCCAGCCCTCGGTCCACGCCCTTTGCTTTGCTTACAGAGAAAACATCGCCCGCGGCACCTCTGCTGCTGCGCTGACAGCGGGAGAGCCGGCAGCAGCGGGTGCGGGCCCGGCAGGGCTCACATATAGAGCACAGCACCGTGCACAGCGCTGCGAACGACCCCGGGCGCGGACAGCCTCTGCACCGCGGGCCCCGCAGCCCCGAGCCGCTGTGATCGACAGCCGGCTGCGCTCCGTGCGTCCGCGTCACGCTTCGTTCAGCTGTGAGAGTTAATTAAGAAACGGAGCCATCAGGCTGCGCTGGGAGTGTGTGCTTTGGCACCAACCTGCTCGCTGCCGTTCCCTCCGGGCGGGCGATGCGGCTCAGAGCGCCGGGAGTGCAATGCGGAACGAGCGCTGCGGGACGGCTGCAACAGAACAACGTAGAAACTCATTAAGACATCAGTGGCTTACAGCGAACCGAGTATTTTATACATATATATATATATAAAAAAAAAAATTAAATACATATCGATATTTTTTTCTTTAAGTCGGATATAATTTCGTTTTCTTTCGGCTGATTTCTCACGTAGTAAGAGGAATTTGGTTTTAATTCTCATCCCTGTGGTCGCTCTGTTCCATTCGCACGTCGCCGTGGTGTGGGCAGCTCTTTCCGAAAGGAAAGTTTGTCGTCAAAGTCAGCGCTGTTAAAACAAACGTTTTTAGGAGAATAATTCCACCGATGCGGAGGTCGCAGCAGCGCGGTGCCCCGCACACGGCTCTCCATTCACACCCCGCTCGCACACCATCGGACTGCCTGCTGGCAGCCAACACGAATACCGCTCGGGGCCGCCCGTCCCGCAGCCTCCAGCAAGTTCCCGGCCCGGCCCGTAGTGCTGGAAGCTCCCGGGGAGATCTTTCCTTCTGCCGGGAAAGCCTGAAGCCTTACTGCTCCACCTCTGCAGCTCCCGGGCCGGTGGAATGCTGCCATCGCCCCGCGGTGCCACACATAGGGAAGCGGCTCCGGGCGGCTGCTCGCGGCTCCAGAAGGGCTCCGTCGCACCCCGCCTGCCCCAGTCCCCAAACCGAGGGCAGCAACCCGGGAGGACGCGCCTTGGAGCCGCTGCGTTCCCCTAGCGCTGTCTGGAGAAAAAAAAAAAAAAAAAAAAAAAGAAGAAGGAAAAAAAAAAAAAAAAGAAAAAAAGAAAAAGAAAAAAGAAAAAAAAAGAAAAAAAAGAAAAAAAGAAGTAAAATGAGTTTTCTTATTTAACGCTTTTACGGACTGTGAAAAATAATCACTTGTTCACCACTTACTCAAATGTGAAAAGAAAATATTAACACGATATCACAAGTGCAACAGGAATAACGTTTCCAAAGCGCTACTTAACGTTGGGCACAGTCTGTCTGTCCGTTAAGTCAGGTAAAGGCAGCCGGGAATCCGCCTTTTAATTACACGCGGTTCCTCCTTTCGGCTGCGCTGAAGCTGCTGTGCTGCAGCAGAACCACGGGCTGAGAGGAGACGGGAAGAGGCGGACAGACCGCGGGGTTCCGCTCCTCGAAACCGCCGTCCTCGCCCTTCCAGACGCTGATCCCCGTCCCCAGGTCACGCCGAACCTTTCCAGCTGATTGTTTGTTTAAATCCAAGAGTCGTTTCAATGTAAGAATAAAAGCTGGCTTCCTGTTTACTCAGCACGGCCGTATCCTATGCTTACCGACGCCCCATCGCTCGGCCCGGCGGTTTGCTTAACGTGCTCCGGCAGCGGGAACCGGGGAGCACCTGGGGCAGGCAGGGCCGGGGGAGCGGGCTAATGACCGCCCGTAATTACACAGCAGGCGAGCAATTAGCGCCCTGCAATTAGCGTTCCGCAGCCAAGGCTCGGCCTGGCCCTGCAAGGAAAGCCCGCAGCCCTCGGGGCCGGGCCCTGGGGCGGCTCTCCATCGCTCCCTGCCGCTCGCCACTTCCCGCAGCGCTTCTGGATTTTGTTGTTATTGCTCTTTTTTCCCAGGACGATGATAATTACATGTCGCTGTAGATGTTCTATCGTTTGAAACTTCGACGGAAAAAAAAAGTACAGCAAGGAATCAGAAAATTAAAAATAAAACAGTGCCACGGCTCCTTGCTACGTAGCCGCAACGAGCGCAGAGTCCCGGGGTCGGTGGAAGTTTTCTGCTCCCTGTGCCCGAGCTCTGCCCAGAGCGGCACCAACAGCGCTTTCCCAAAGCGGCGATTAGATGTGCCGCCGCATCTCAGCCGCCTGTTAGACGGCAATGACGCATTTCTTAGAGAAATGACGACCATCGTCTCAACGCGGAGCGCGGCCGAGGCCCGGGTGGCCTCCGGGTGTGACGCGTGGCCGAGAACGAAGAAAAAAATAAAACAACAAACAAAACCAAAAATACAAAGAAACGATTAAAAAGAAAATAAAAAGCATTACTCAGAGCAATAGTCCATAAAATACTTTATTGAAATAAAGTAAATATCTTCGCATTAATAAAACCGATCATAAAATGCAGTTTTCGAGTAACTGGGGGCACCACAGGGTTTCACGCAGCGAGCAACGCCGAGGGCAGACCCGGTGCCCCCCGGCCGCCGCGCACCGCGGATCTCAGGGCCGGGACCCGAGCCGTGCGCTCTGTGCTCCGACCGCGACCCCACCGCCCTCTGCCCCCGTCCTCTACCGCCCGGGCCGCTGCACACAGAGTTCCTCCCGCCCGGGGCTGCGCGCTCCGGGGCCCGGCGCGGCGCTGGGAGTCCCCGCGCACCCGGGCGGCGGCGGTGGGGCCGGGCCGTGCCCTCACTCCTCCTGGCTGACCTCAGCTGGCGAGCCCAGGCTCTCGGGGGGTTTCTCAGCGTCCCGGGCGCGCTCCTGCTCCGAGAGCTGCTCGCTGCTGGGGATGGAGTTCTTCTTGGGGCGACCCTTGGGCTTGGTGGGGGACTCCAGGCCTCCCCCCTGCAGCACCTGCGGGGCGGGGAGGTCACAGCGATAGCCGCGTAAAGCAGCGCTCCGGTCCGCGGTACCGGTGGGGGAAGGTCCCGCTGCCCGAGCCGTACTGCGCGGAGCAGGGAGCGTGCTGCGGCCGCATGGAGCGGGGACATACACACGTATCAAAACATACATATATATACTTTTTTCCCCCTGGAGGGCCCGGCGCCGGCACTTACTATTTTCTTCCATTTCATGCGCCTGTTCTGGTACCAGGTTTTCACCTGGAGCTGGCTGAGCCCCAGCGATTCGGCCAGGTCTATTCTGCGGGCGGGAGAGAGGCGGTAAGACCCGGCCCGGCCCGCGGCTTTCCTTCTGCTCTCCGGACGATGCCCCCGCGCCGCCCCGGCGGTACCTGTCGGGCGTCGAGAGGTACTTCTGCTTCTCGAAGCGCTTCTCCAACCCCATGAGCTGCAGCTCTGTGAAGACGGTGCGGCTGCGGCGGCCCTTCTTGGCCTTGCTGCCCGGCTCGGGGCCGCCCGGCTCCAGCTTGCCGCGGAGGTGCAGCTCCAGCGGGAGGTGGGGCGAGGCGGAGCCGCCCTGCAGCCCCGAGCCGGCGGCCAGAAGAGCTGAGCCCAACCCCGAGCAGCCCAGGGGAGCCAGCGGGAACTTGAAGACTGCCGCCGGCTCCGCCTTCAGAACGGCTGCGGGAGAGAGCGGCCGTGAGAGCCGGGCGGCCCCGGAGGCTGCTCGCATTGGGCTCCGCGCACGGCCCCGGGCCCTTCTCCCACATCAGCCGCGGGGTCACGCCGTGCCCTGCAGCCGGCGGCAGGCAGTCACCCACCCAGCGATCCTCGCGTTACCCGCGGAAGCCTTTAGGAACCATTTAGGATCTGGTGCCGACAGACAGATTCAAGCGCTGCCGGGCCCACAGCCGCACCGTCAGACTCGTGCTCGGCCCCGACGTGCGGCCGCGCGGGGCCCTCCCGAGCGCCCAGGGATCTCGCACGAGTGGGCAGATCACGCTGCCCTATGTAGCACCGCGACAGCTCTTCCAACACCGAGCGCGGCCCGGGGGCTTCGAAAGCACAGGCGGGCCCGGCCCGAGGAACACACACGGGCACACACTGGTGCGGGCCGGCATTTCAGACCGGTGTCTAAAACAATCCTGAATCCCCAGAGCTCCAACACAGGTACTTCCCCACTACGGGGCTCGATGCTTTCCCGATTTCTTTTTTAAGAGGAAAGCAAAAATTTGGAATCCTCCCGTTCCATTCGCTTCGAGGGATAAATGAACTGCGTCTCTGCAGATAAAGACAGCTTTAGAAGCAAAAGCGTTTGCGATCGCAGATTAAATATTCGCGTTAACACAAAATAAACGTAAAATAAAATAACAAAAATCAACCAAAAAAAAAGCCAACAAACAACCCCCCCAAAACCGAAACACAACAAGAAATCTGTCCTTAATACCCTATCCTGCACCACGTCCCGACACCACACCGCGCGGCTCGCACTCTCCATCCCCCATCTCTCCACGCACAGCACCGCTCCCCACGGCCCCACCGCCGCCCGCGCCCCGCACATGAGGCCCCGTCCCGGCCCGGAGCGCTGCGGAGAAGTTCCCGAGCTCTCCTCCCATAGGAGCGGCCTCACACGCGCCGGGAACCGCGGCCCCGCTCCCGTCCGACCCCGGCGGGACATACCGAGGTGGTTGTGGTAGGGCCGTGCGGATAGCAGCGCCTGCACCCCGAACTTGAGCAGCTCCCCGGGCGGCGCCGCGCCTTTGGCGTCGGGGGGGTCGGTGAGGATCTCCTCAATCATGAAACTGCGATAGCGGTGCGAGCGGTGGTCGGGAAAGGCTTCGGCCGGGAAGTAGTGCGCAGCCCCCAGCTCCAGCGGGTGCTGCATCCTCGCCGCCGCCCGGGCCGTGCCGAGCCGAGCCGAGCCCGGCCGCCGGGCCCTAACGCAGCCCCCCGGCCGCTGGGAGCCGGGCAGCGGGGGCTCTGCCCATCGCCCCTACCCCGCCCTACCCCTGGGCAGGGCCCGGCGCGGCCCCCCCCCGCTCCGGCTCCGCGAGTGCCTCGGGACCGCCCCGAGCGCCGCCGGCCCGCGGCCGTTCCGCCGCACGCACGCACGGGGCGCGGCACCGGGCAGCACCTCCCCAACCCAACCCGGCCTGACGGGCAGCGGCTCTATTATACGGCCCCGGGGGCTGCGGAGGGCGGGGGAGGGCGCGGGAGGAGCCGCGGAGGAAGGAAGGGGCCGGGGCGGGCGAGTACCTGGAAGCGGGAGGTTACGGCGCAGCATTTGATCAGCTGCCATATAAAGCAAACGGGCCCCAAGGCGGGCAGCGGGCAGGCACACACCCAACCGAACGCGGTGCCGGAGCTGCCGTGTCCCCCCCCCCCCCCCCCCCCTTACGGCAGGGTGCTCCTGGCACCTCCCGCCACCTGCCCGCCCCTTCCCCGCTTCCTCCCCTCTTCCTCGGACATGGCCCCGCTCGGCCCCAGGCAGCGTAGCGCAGCGCAGCGCAGCGCCGGCCCCCGCGGAAGGACCCGAGCTCGGCCACATCCCTATGGAGATGAGCAGTTGGTCGGGAAAAGAAACAAAGCGCAGCGCGGAGTGGAACGCCTCTCCTGGCGTTTAGAGCCGTTTGACGAACGTTGCGCTAGGCACAGCGGGGTTCGTTCCTTTCTCTCCAAGCCGTGCCGCGCACCACCGCACGGTTCGTGCTCGCTGCCGGAATGCCCTGAGCGGGGCTCTGCGGAGGGGGTACAGAGCCGTCCTCCGGTAGCCGCCGTCGGGGCCGATCCCGCAGCCCTGCATCCCGTCGCTGCCCCGGGCCCGGTGCCGCGGGAACCCCACACGGAGCGGAGGGCATTGGGCCGGGCCGGTCACTGTGCCGGGGTCACTCTCGTTCTGCAGTGCTGTGCTTCCTACAACAGCCAGGTGCTCTCAGCTGCTCGATGTTCCGTCCCGCACTGACTCCCCCGTAACCCGCACAATGTGCTGGCACGAAGCGGTTCTGCTCGGATTTTCCGTTTTCTCCGCGTCCCGTCAATTTAAAACGACGCTCTACAACCCGTGAGAGGGCTTTGGGGAACACCCTCCCCATCCCTCTTTTCCACTGCGGGGTCTCGAGCGTCCCCGGCAAAAATGTATTCCCCTCCCCTCGCCTCCACCTCTGGGCACAGCACCGACCGAGCACTTCCGACAATTCGTGGCCCCGCAGACGCCGACGCGGTCGAGGGTCGGAGCTGCAGCGGTGCGGATCGGTGCGGTGCTCCGCTGCGGGGCGGTGACGCTGTTCTGCGGGAAGGACGGGGGCTTTCACCCTCCGGCTGCACCCTAGGATAATGGTTTAAAATCGTTGCAATGCGAATCCCACCGCTCAAAGAAAATACGTTGGTGTATATACATGTAAATATATAGAACTATTTTTAATCGTGACTCTTAAAATGACGGAAATCGTTTAATTCACAGAACCCCCAAATTCGAGCGCCGATGTCGCACCTCCCGCCCGGCTCTGCGCCGGGGGATGCGATCCTCTGCTGCTTTCCAGCCAGCCCCATGCCGTGGGGACGCGCTGGGCACTGTCGGCCATTCGGCAGCTATGGGGCGAACGAACGCAGCCCCGAATTACGCGCACTTCGTTTTCCATCTACTGCAAGGGAAGCGCCGTGGTCTTCTTAAAAAGAAAACGCTCCGCATTTGACGGGTGTTTGTGTTGTTTGCACCAGGCGAAGCGTTTATCGTACCGTTAGAAATGCAGGACATTCCTAAAGCCACCTCACTGTTCGCAATTTGTTTCTATTTTTTAACCAAAACGTTCACATTCGTTTCGGGACTCATAGGTCCCTCCCAGGGCACACTTCACAGCCCTCTGCCGCTCACTGTCACACCGCGGCTGTTCCGAGGGCTGAGGGAGAAATGGGGGGAATGGAATCCCCGCGATTCCGCATCTCTCCCGGTGCTGCGGGCGGTTCATTCCCGTTTTGAAGGGGAGTTTTGTCTTTTTTCCCATCTTTCTTTCGTTAAGATCCCATTGCGTTTCCCTGCTCAGAGAGATCATAACACGAAAATTAGCCAGAGAAACGCTCTCTCATCGCGGTGCTTTAGGAAACGCCCTGAGTGCAACGGGGAAAGCGATTTTGTGCAGAAAGGGCGACGAGTGGGTATGGATTAGATAGAAGTATATAGATACAGATAGATACAGAGATTATATATATATATATATGTGGATATGGATAGAGACGTAGATATATACATATAGCTACGGAAATAGAGATATAGAGATATGGAGATAGAGATGGAGATGGAGATGGAGATGGATTGACCCCACCGTCCCGTACCCCCCTCCCCTCCCCTCCCCTCTCACATCCCCGCTCCACCGGCCCCGTCCCCACGGCCCCGGGGCGGCCTCGGAGCGCTGCGGGCCCCGGCGCTGCCTTCTGCTGGCACTCGGCGTCCAGGAAATCCGCAAAGCGGTTGGAAAAGAGTGGAAGCCGTGACATCACGCGGGGCAAGAGGGTGAGGGAGCGGCTCCGTCCGAGCAGCGCGCTGCGCTCGGGGCCGCGGGGAGCTCCGTGCTGAGACGCGGACCTCAGAAGCGATGCTCGCGGCCACGCGGCCCGGCCATTCCTTCCTTACGGCTTCGGGCAGAAGTTGCGGGGCTCTGTGCCCCCGCACCGAGGCAAATCCCCGCCCCGCCGCCTCCAGACCTCTTTCCTCCAAACCCTGCAAACGGACGGAATCCATCTCCGTAGCTGCCGCTCTCTGGAGAGATCTGTGCCCGTACCGGGAGCTGCCCTCCGTGCGACCGCCGTGCTGCGGAACAGCACGCACAGTGAATAGTGTCCTACTGGGATAAAACGGTGAGTCCCTCACTTTTCTTACTTTTCTTTTTCTTTCTTTCTTTCCTTTTTTTTTCCCCCCCCCCTTTTAAAATAGCGGAGTTCTGTTTGTTTGTTTGTTTGTTTGTTCTTTTACTGTTGTTTTCCTTTGTTTTGTGGTTGTTTTGGTCGTTTTGTTTTCTTTTTCCTTGCTTCACAGAGGAGGGGAGCAATTCTCGGAAGCACAAACCAGCCGCGAGCGTCGGTAGAGGCAGCGTTGGGGCTGAGACAGCTCTTCCAGGCACTGCCCCATCCGCACGTCGACCTCGGGGCTGACACGGGGCTCCGCTGGCTCAGCTCGCTCAGCTGCCCCGATCAATGTCACGGCTGTCAGAGGGCCGTGGTTACGCTTTCCCCTGCTGACAGCTCATACAGAGCTGTCTTTCTCCCTTCTCCACCCTGACCTGCTATCAAACCCAAGAAAACTAGGCAACCGAAAGAAATAGCAGAGTCGTCTGCATTGCTCGGGGCAGCTCCTGCACTGTCCTGCCCAGGAGCGTCGCAGAGGAGCAGTTCTGGGGCGCTGTTACGCCCATGCTGACACGGTGCTGACACGGTGCTGGTACGGCCTTTAGCACCCAGCTCTCCACCTGTCACACACAAAACCAACGTATTGCTTTGATGCACAGCTCCAACACGGGGAAATGGCGCCGAGCCCCTCAGTGACGTGATGGGGAGCAGGAGCAGAAATCTTTCATTGTGGGACTTCGGGATGGCTGTGCCACACTTCCAGCCACAACCAAACCCTGCACAGCACTGCCACAGCCACAGATGGGCACGGAGCCACGTGCAGAGCTGCAGGCAGCGAGTGTGCTCTGCGATGGCCGGGCACAAACACACCGTGAGCCAAAGGTGGGTGCACCAGGTCAGTAATTACAGCCTGTCTGAAACCACAGCTATGGCTGTACCACTTATTTCTAGATGCTAAACAGGCCCCAAACAGAAAGGGGCCTGAAAGGAACCGTCCTTATCACCCCGGTGTTCAATTCAAGCAAGCCCCACATCTGCTGCCGAACAAGAGCTGCCCTCCTGATATCACATCATCCCCTATGCTGAGAACAGGTGACGAGTGCTGAGGCAGCCCACTGTTCACTGACTGGAATAGGGTAGTTTATAAAATCAAGTTAATGATTACATCTGTGTGGAGCGGGGCCTCCAATTTTAACAGAGAGACGAAGAAACAGAGCAAACCCCACATTCTGTGGGTTTGCAGCAGTGTTGGTCTCTGGTTCCACCTGGTTGTGCCTTTATGGTGCAGCGGGGAGGTGCTGCAGGCATTTAACACAATAATGGCTAATTGAAACTTTTTATTTCTAAAATAGCACCATGTTTTATACATATTAAAATCATATTAAAGCTGACTTGCCAGACTCTCCTGAGCACCACTACAGCCAGTTAAAAAGCCTGTTAAGAGCCAATTAAATTCTATAACAAGCACACGATATAAAACAATTAAGTGGTGGCGGCTCTTTTCTGTTAGTTTATTTCTCTGCCTTTGCATTTCTACGCAAGTCTTATTTTAAAGTGTTGTACAGACCCACCAAAGTGCCCTCCCAGCAGAGCAGGAGCAAAATCTCTCCCCACTCCCATGGAACCAAGTAGGCTGGAGCTGGATGTGCTGCAGAGTGCGCCCACTGAACGCTGAAGAAAATCACACTGATGAGAAATGCTTAAAGTTCCCAAACTGAACACCCAGGTGTCTGAAGTCCCACAGATGGTCCCTGCAGGGTGGGCTCGGTGGTGCCAAGCTGGGCACCAAGCAGTGCCTGATGTCCACGGCCCCAGGCAGCCTCTGTGGCCACCACCAGACCAGGGCATGGCCAGCAGCTAAGGGGAGCTTCACCTGCAGAAGGCAATGGGAACTGGGGATCCTAGGCACAGCACACACAGAAGGTGAAACTGATTTACTACCTTGGGATGGAATAATGTTTTTAGAATAAAATTATGCTACATGGATTAGGATTTCCTGTATGCTGTTTACATTTCTGAGAGCCTTCATCTGTTTTAATCTCTATA